ATATATATATATATATATATATATATATATATATACATCAGAAATCACATAGCCGAGCAAGATATATGAGGTTACCCTGAGAAATTGCAATATCCGCGCCATTTTCTGATTAAGTAAGGTAAATCCGGTCAATCCTGGAAGGATGTGTCTCAAGAATGGCAAGTGATTCAGTATGCCTCCGGTGATGTTGCTGCTTCTCACAATGTCGTTTAATATCGACAAGATTTCCATTAATCTCGGATTATCTAGATCGAAACTGCGAGCAACATTAACATTAGTGATTGCTACGTAGTCACGTGTGATTTCGCATATTGCAACGCACCTCGAGCCAGCAACCAATGTCCATAAACTATTGAGGACGGCTATAGACGTGATGTTGTGTAAGTTCTTAATGGGCCCCGACGTAGCCAGCGATCCTATCGCGTTAGTTAAGGCAACAGCGTTCTTCAGTATTAAATCCTCCATCGTGATTTTCCCGAATCCGAACTGTTTCAACGTTTTCAGAGTAAATCTGTGTAACACAGAGCAAATTATAAATTCACACGGAGAGAATTTTATAATAAAAAGTATTGTGGAATTTTGTGTAATCGAGAAACAAATGGAAATTCTGCAATAGTTTATTATTCTTTCATTTCACAGTATATCATGCTACTCTTTTATATTTTAGGAACTGAAATATACTATTAAAACATTTGTCATATTCTCCTAGCAAAATTTAATCATGTTCCTCTTATCTTGTTCCTCTTGATCTTATTGACTCATTCAATGACTGAGTCATTCTGGTACTACTAGAAACATAATAAAATTGAAAGGAATTTATATGAGAAAAAGATTATAATATCTTTTTTCAGCGGAGTGGAGTAATTTTTTTGTGATTTCTTTAACATTTGCGTATTCTACAAGCGTAAGTTCAAGGCTGTATATCATCAAAGATGCATCAGTTTTTATAATATAAATAAATCGGTATTTACAGTTTAATATATTTAAACAGGCACCTAAAACAAGGCAGAAAACGCGTCTATTGTGGAGGTTCTGTAATTTACGAAATTTAAAGAGCTTCTCTGCATTTATACGAAGAATACCTTCTCTGTTCACGCCAAACATCGCTGTCGGTGAATATCACACCCCTTCGCACACCCCCCGTCCGGTGTCGGAAAGCGAATCCATCGGGTCTGCCATCGAACTCGGGTCGATTCAACATCTCGACCACGGCACTTCTGCCGGAAACGATGACCAGAGGATTGGCCATACCGAGTTTCAAACCGACGATCGGTCCGTAAATATTGGCCAGGCGACACCAAGCCTGAGAATAGAACTTTGTCTCCTCCACCAGACGTTTCACGTCGAATATATTTCCCACGATTGGCAGGCCGCGCGGTCCTTAAAGTTTATGATTATTTTTATAATTATTTTATGTGTATTCACGCATGAGAGGCAATTAATGTTAAATCTCACACTGAATTGTTTTGATACTTTGAATGAGGTCGCCATTGGTTCTCTTTTTGGTTTATTTTATTTGATTTTGCATGTTTCTTATACTTTCAATTACACTCATAACATTCAAGCTCTAATCGACTAATTTCTGCTTACTTTTGATTAAAATTCTAAAATGTTAATTTTAACAAGCAGAAGTTTAATTTCAGATATGTATTTATATTTATGACATAAAATTATAGACAAATATATATATATATATATATATGCAATTTTTATCTCTGTTTTACTCTTTGTTTTTACCTGGGGGAAATTTCGGTGGTCGCCGCCAGTTATGCAGAATCTTTATCATGAATATCACCGACAGACACATTATCGTAAGCCACATTGTCTTTGTTATTCGATTACGATAGAAAAAAGATATCAGATATTTGTTTCACCCCGAATTTTAAGGGAATTTCGACAATTGATTTGCCACGAGTCCGACGAAGCTCACACAAGACGCTTTTGAGCCGATCAATTTTATTTTGTTGGTTCTCGTCGAATTGTCATTCGCACCACCGTCGATCGTTCGGAACTGCACCGACCCCGTGAAAATACCGACTATATGAGGAAAACAGTACTTTCACTCACATCAGCCAGCAGTGCGTCGACTCAAGGTTTTCACATGTCCATAGACGCACCGTTCGTATACGAACAGACACATACGTGTCACCTCGTAGATGAAAAATTATGACTGTAAACTTGTTAGACCAACTTCAGATTAGTGTGTGTGTGTGAAGCGCGGATTGCGTATCTCGCATTGGTCGCCTGGTAATTCACCACAAATGTTCTTGCACCAACTTCAAATGTCTCGTATGTGGCACACGTACAAGATGTCTGACTTCCCATATCTTGTGTGCATGTAGATTAGCTCGAACTGCAAAATGATCAGGATTTTGAGTTCAGTTTGATCTAATCTACACGCGCGCGAGATATGGGACACTTTGCGTCGTACATCCTGTATAATATATTCTTCGACACGAACACGTACAGATAACAAGTTTTAACGACCGAAACTTTCCCTGTCTTCAGCAGAACGATTTGTAAATAACTGGCAAACCGTACGCCATGTGTTTATCCGCGATATCTATCTCGGAGCTTAAACTAGCATGCGTCAATCATATCAATTACGTCATCTCGCGACGGTAAAGAGGCCGTACGTGTTTTTTCTGTGCTCCGTTCCTTATAGAAAAGTATCACTGGCTGTGATAAATTATCCAGTAATAAATAGTAATTTTATTACTCGTACGAGTAATAAAATTATTGAACGACAGTAATTATCACTGGCCAAATTATTACTTATCAGTATTACATTTCTATAAGGGGTGAAGCTGACAGTTCGTGGTGTTCAGCGAGTTGTTCACTTTGGCATCTCCTTAAAAGACATTCGGCTTTGAATGTTTCGCGGCCGAAAGAAATACTTCATTTTCGTTGCAGAAAGAGAGAGGAAAGGGAAAATCGTGGAAAGTTGACGAGGACGAAACGCGTTTCGATGCATCGCGCATGGGCTGATGCTAATATCAAACGATTATCGCGGCGCGAAGCGACGCGCGCGCGGAATCGTAAAGGTGCAATTCCAATCAGTCAATCTCGATCTTCATCTGCGCCGTCTCGAGCTCAGCTAACACCTCGCGCGATATAGCGTTTACGATTTCGCGCTCGCACGCGATCACTTCCGACCTTCTTCCTCTATTCTTCGCGTTCGCGTCTATATCCGTCTTCCTCCGCTCACTTCTGCCTTAACACACGCCATGCCAAATTGAAACAAGAACGAGCCAGCCAGCGAGCTGTTCGACTTAACGATCGCCGGTGAGCCACTAAAAACCAGCTGAGTTAATTCGACCGCGATTATCTGGTTGAATTGTGACGGGTTATTGACACTTGGCGATTTATCAACGCGCGTCTTCAACTTAGCTTAAAAATTTATCGATATCAAATATCTTTCCTTCTCTTTTTCTCTCTCTGTTATTTAAATTTATTTCATTTCATTTTCCTTTAATTTCGTACTTATACACATTTTTATTTATAGAAATGTTTGACACGATAAGTAACACATTTTCTTAAAACCTTAACTTTCTATGAAGGCAATTGTTTATTCTACTTCAATAAAAGAATTTAGATTTAAGTATAAATACGTTATCAGTATCCATCGAATGTTTTATTTTCTTCCGATATTTTTTTCTCTCTCAGTGCAAATCAAAACTATCGCCATCGGCGACTCTGTGATGCTTCAAAGCCGCAGCATCCGCGCGCGATGGGTCGCGGATTATTACATGTCGGCGTCGTCGGCGATAAAACACCCGGCAGAAGACAAAGGAACGTATAAAGCAATGTTGGTCTTACCTCCATCGGTGTATACAATTGTTGACCGCGAAGCTGCGTAACGAGCGATCGTGTCGAATGAGTTTCTGGTGGCGCGATAAGGGAGCGCAGGAGAAAACAAACGTTCTTATAATCGCTGGGAAAGTGGGGGCGGTTTAATTTTTCTCGCGCTTGTCCTCTAGTTGACGTCACTCACCGGTACCGGACAAAAAATAGTTTCATAAATTGTGACGGTGAGTTCCTTGTTCCAGAAATTTACTCAGACATGTTAATTTTGCAACTTTCAATTGTGAAATGGAATTGTTTTATTTTAAAATCGAGCACTCTCTCCTTTTCTTTTTCGCTCGTATTAGAAGTAATTCAAGGACGCGACGCAGTTTCATTAAATAATTCGTTAATCTTCGAAATGCAGCGAGCGAAATGCGCCTCTTGCCGACGGGAGCGGAAACGAACAAAGCGGCGGGCTTTTATCGTGCGTGACGAACGGAGGCTTCCAAATTAAATGTTTCACGGTCAATTATCGATTGCCTGTTAAATTGAAATGAGAGTGCGGTTAAATGTAGTGTCGTCATAAGTTTATAGAAAATCATAATGGAACTGGTTTTTGGAAGGCCCAAACTGAACAATTTTCAAGTAATCGCAATTTACTAAAAGGACGTTTTTATTTCGTGCTTTTTAATTATTTTTAATTGTTACTATTAAAATATTTACTTATTTTACTATCAAAATACTTAATTAATTATTACTAAAAGTTGGTTTTTGAAGTCGATTAAAGATAAAAGTTTCTATATGTTATATTTCTAGATGTTCTCGGATTCTTGAGAAAAGAATTGAATTAGCGAATTTTCAGGTCACTCAGACTTGAATAAAGACACTAATCTAAGAATCGTATAGATACTAAGCGGAAATATATTGAAATATAGAACAGTACCTAGTAAACACAAAGTATCATTCATATTACAATGTCAGCTCAATTGTATGGTATATTATGTAACTGTTACTTTGTTATGTAACAATCGATGATACTTTGTGTTTACTGGGTAGACACATACTGAATAAGCTACAGAAAGTTATCTGTATCTCAATATCTGTAACGATTCTTGAATTATGAGGAATAAACAAACATAAATATACGAACATATATACTGAGGACTTCCTTTTTCGCGAAATCGGCTATGAAAAGAAAACTCGTATGTAGGAGAAGATACTCGTTCCTGATTAATTATCGCGCACGGTAAGATAATTAAGAGCAAAGTGCAAAGCGTTTGATTAATTCGGATTATAATCGCGAGAGGCTTTTCGCCGAGGCGATTATTTCGACCATGAGGTGTGATGTATGCCACGATGCGTTGGCGGATCGGGGGCTCAAAAGAGGGCGGTGGTGGAGGGATTTGATGGCAGGAGGGGACGGTGGCTCGCGTTGATCGGAGGTGCGCTACGTCCAGCCGAGTTGGTACTCGCAACCACCAGACTCCGATTGGGTAGCAAACGAGAACTCGTCGCCACTCGCTCGTCGTGAATTTCAATCGTTCTCCGTGACCGGCACGGGCAGGAAAAGCGGACAGGAAGTATCAGGAATACGGTGGTTACTCGGATAACAGAAATAGTGTTAAGAAATCATTTGTCGATAAGATTAGGAGTCGCGAAGATTAGGTAATTGGGTGTAGGCTGCGTGTTTGCTGAAGAGAAAGTCAAGCCAAGAGAGGCCGGAAGAGCCAAAAAGAACAGCGGAGCGACACGTTGCTGCGGCTATGCTGCTTCGCGCGCCGTGTATCTTTCCTTTCGTATTTACGGTGGGTCTTTCTCCCGTTAAACTCCTGTTAATTAATTTGAGATCATGAACTAGCAAGCTAATACAATTTCGAATTCACTAAGCTATCGAAGAGAAAAAAAGAAGATATCTTAGAGCCATATTAATAGTTGTTGCTTAAAACTTGCCTCAGATGATACATTCAGATTTGAATTTAGAATCAGATGCAAATCTTTCAGTTGAATCGCGATTGCGGATGTAATGTCGCAGATATTGTGTGATTCAAGTAGAAAATTCAAATCTAACTCTGAATCCGTATCTGAGTATCTTATGTAGAACAAGTTTCAAGTAATGGCTATTAATACGGGCCCTAGAGATGTCTGAAAGAGATATCTTACTTTTTTCATTTCATTTTCATTACATTTTTAGGACATTTTTAGGGTGTTAAGACATACTTTAAACATTCATGCTGTCCGAGAATTGAAGATATTGTAATTACAGTTTTGTCAAATTTTCTACGAAATGGTTGAAATATATAGTGATTAATTTAGCATTTTTCCTCTGCTTCGTTGATATTGTAAATATGCCATGTGCAAATTTACAAGCATATCGGTGCAGCGAGATCCGTCGCGAAATTGTTGATTCTCAAGGCGCGCGTCACCATTCTTATCGTGCAGTGATTTATACATTTTATTCGGCGTCAGCCTTCTCACTTTCGCGTCGGTACGCCCGGCCAATTTTCCGCGTCGATTTATCGTATTGACTCGTGCGAATCAATTGGATCAGCTGTGAAATGAGCGCTTTCTAAGTTGAAAATCGCCGGGGAATTAATTAATTGTTTACACACGGCCGTGTCGCGTTAATCACAGTCGAATCACTTTGGAACTTCTGCGCGCAGTGTTCTGAGAAACTATTTATTCGTTTGCAAACAAATACGCATAAATTAGTCGCGCATAGCATTGCGTCATATCTGTTTTGAGTAACGTTACTGACACGGCAATTTTCTCGTCGACTGAACTTTGTTTCTTTATTTGCCTGAGGCAGGTGTGCTGTTGGCTGCGTGACAATGCTGCGATCCCGTTGGCCTCTGATTTGTCAGTCGCAAATCGCGTATGTAAACCGTTTAATTATACCCTGATCTTCTCTATCGCGTGAACTCTCCCTTCAAATCTGTCCTACTCCACAGATGCGGAATGCATTCGGAGAGGAAAAGATAGATTCTCAGGATAATCGGGCTGCATCGAGGCTTCGTACAAGGAGGAATGCGGAGTCGACTAGCAGCTCGCTTGACAATTCGTTCAGCGACGAAGCATCCTCCGCGGAGGACGAACAGTCGCCGGAGGACGAATTGTTAGTAATTTACTGTTTTTCAGTAAGATGTAATAAATATATAGTAAAGTTAAATTAAATTAATAAAACAAAATAAAAATAGTAATGAAACAAAAATATAACTAACAGTAATAACTGACTCTAAGTTAAATTCTGATTACCTTATTTGAGACGAGTTTCAAGTTAATATTAATACAGTATTGTTATTATTAATACAGACTTAAGAGACGAACGACCGGTCTCTGTTAGTGAAAAAATTGTACAACGTTCGCGTTATTGTCATTAATCACACGATTTCAGGAGAATAAACAATCAGAACGTGAATGTGAACATCAATCAGTACAGCGGTCGGAATAAGCCGCGGAGGACTACTATTACTCCCGCGCCGGCCACCATGATGCCTAAACCGAGGAACGTTGAAGTCAAGGAAGACCAGAGCTGCGTGAGCGGCAAGAAGAAGAACCAAAGGTACTCGAGCAGCTTCGTCGGGAACACGACGAGACCGTTGACGGTCGATAAGGAATTCGACGACGTGATCGGTAATAATTCCAAGGCGAGGACTACCAGTAGCGTGCACGTCGGCGAGGACATCACTCTGTGCTGGATCGAGACGACGACGATCAAGGAGGACAAGAACGTGCGGCCGCCGAAGAGGCTGGTGATTCGCGAGTACACGATCTCTTTCGAGAACTCGGCGACCATACCGGAACGGTACCTCGAGTGCGAGAGACTCGAGGGCGAAGTGACGGCGAACGACCCCGAGATCGGCAAGACCGCCTTGTTCGAGGTCATAGATGAGGACACCAAGACGAGCAGGGTCGTCAACTTCACCACAGTCAGCAACGTCGGCGACATTCTCATCTGGCAACACAAGAGGGTGAAGTGCGGAGTCGGGCCGGTGGTCAACAAGAACATCATCGAGTGGAACGACGGCTCGGAAAATCCGAAGAAGAGAGTAGAGATCAAGGTCAGCCCTGAGATGCATCAGTTGACGGCGAAGAAGACCGAGCAGGAGCCCTGCACTGAGGAGATCGAAGAGAGCAGCGTAGAGTCCAACATCACGAGCGACTTGACCGAATCCTGCGAGAACACCGCAGAGAGCGGCGCTTGCGAGGTGACCACGCAGTCCGACGAGGGTCTTACGAGGCGTCCTGACAGCGACGGGACCGAGGAAGTTGTTACCAAGCTGTCATCGAGTGACGAACTCAGCAGCGGTGAGTTCGGCAGTGGCGAAAACGGCAGCGAGGAAGCGCTGGTGCTGTCTACCGGCCATAAGATCCCAACATTATCTTACGAAACGACGATCTCGAAGCTGATGAGCACCACCAAAGCGCCGATCTCCGAGAAGAAGGACGAGTCGGTTCTCCCGAGTGTAGAGTGCGAGGAGAACTCGTTGGATCCGGAGTGCGCGGGGCGAGGAAGCAGTGTGTCGCCCGAAGAGCTGTCTGTCGAGTCCTCGACGATCGAGGATAAATTGTTGGAAAGCTTACCCATCGAATTTCCGTCTGGTTCGAGTGAGAGAGGCGTCACTTCGACGATTCCTAATTGGGTGACTGAACAAACGACTCCGTTCGTGTCTAAAACAGACGTCTCGATTGAATCTAAAGAAATCTCGGATTCAGCCGATATTAGTAAGTCGCCTGACCAAACGAGAGAATCTGATGTCTCTACGCCCGCGAAGACAGCGGGGGGTGGCACCTCCGAAGAGGACACGTCTGTGACGAGCATGGAGGTAGACATTGGCACCATAACCTCGGGTAAAGCTAGCTCTGAAAAAGTGATTACGAGCACATTACCGTCACTAGAACTGACCAAGTTTATCAAGGAAGTGCTGAAACTCGGCAAACTCCCCGACAAGTCGTCCGAATCGTCATCGAGCTCAGAGTCCTCGTCGATATACGAGGAGGAGTCGTTGGAAGAGAGCGAAGAGATTGTAACGATAAGGACGATCGACCGAGCGACGACGATCGAGCCGGAGATCATCAGCAAGGTGGAGCTTATCCCGGTGACTTCAACGACGACGTCGTTGCCGAGATACCCGCCAATAGTGTTGCCACAGGCACCCAGCGACGAGGCAGATTATACTTGCGAGAATTCTGAGGATTGCGCCACCAGCTTGGCGGCTTGCGACGAAACCGGCGATTGTCCCACGACCAGCAGATCCTGCGAGTCTGGCGAATGTTCGAACGTGGAGGTCGACTATTCAGAGTCTGAGACGTTTGCGTCGGTCGATGCGCAGGCGACCGAAGCCACGAGCATCACGATGGTCGCGTTGACCTCTCAGGAGGCTGAAAACGGCTCGACGGTGATCAACAGTATTCCCACTACTGTGGAGGCCCGCAGAAGCACGCCCTTGTCGTCCATAACCACGGCTAAGCCGCGGCATAAGTTCACGCTGAGAGTGAAGATCCTCCTGGAGCATGTAAATGATAAGAAAGAGAAGCAGAACTTGGTCGAGGTCGAGAAGAAGCTGCTGTTGAATGAGAACCCGGAGCACCGTTGGCAAGCAGCAGACGAGTTGCTTAAACAGCTCAAATCCTTGAATGACTCCGTGAACGTGGAGACTATGAACGCGTTATTGAATTGCACCAGCTTGAGCAAGCTGACAAAGGACGCAAACTTCATTAGAGTAGAACCTAGTGACATCATCGACGACAGCCACGAAAGATCAGGACGTCCCGAGGACTCGCGGCAGCTCAACTCCGCGCATGCACACACCACATATGAGGACACACAGTATACTGAGTCCAATGAAGAAATCGAATTGGTGTCTGGAGGGCGAAGACGAAGAAGTCTCGACGTAAACTTCACAATGGTTGATACGAACGGCACATTGACAGACATGAATGGACTGAACATTTCTAAATCAAGTTATCTTGATCTTAATGACTCCTTGACGTCAGATTCGAACATTTCTGTATCGACTGCGCGATATCAGCAGGAAGACGAGCAATCTGAAACTAGTTTCCCGACGGAAGAGAACGTACAGTTCTTCACGACGACGCGTGGCTCTGAGGAAGAGACAATCGACTTTGCGTACATAGAAAATGAGAGAAACGTGACTAGAGAGAAGAACGAGAGCGAAGTGATTATGGAGACGCAAAGTGTCAGCAACGAAACGAAGATGGAGATTATTCGGGAGACCTTGCCAGGGATAAAGGAGGACGTCTCGATCGGGCTCGAGCGTGTGGTGTCGGAGTTGACGCATGGTAACTTGACTTTGGTCAAGGACGGCAGAGAATTGGCTAAAGTGAGCCTGATGGGTATCCTAGCGAACCCCAAGGATGGCAGGATTCACTCGAGGAGAAGGCGAGAGGCCACGGAGGAAGTTGGACGTTGGTCGAACGAGAGAATCAGCAAAGTGCCGAGCTTGAGCGGCGATCTACGAAGTTTCACCGAAATCACACTGTACAAAGTTTTGCCTTGAGCAGACTTGTTTGACGGGATTTATCTTATCTCGTCGTTCCAACGATTATTCGTCTTCCTAATGGTAGATAACAAATGATCCCAACAAAATCAAGACGAGAGATTGTACACTCGTGAACAGAAAGATTGTACGTAATTTTTGGAGTGAGTTTATGAACTCTCTGTCTTGTTTAATAGGAGAATGCGTTTTTCAATGAGGAAATTCTCCCACTGAACAAACTGGATGAATTCACAAACTTAGCTCAAAAATTACGGACAACATTTTTGTTCACGAGTGTACAGTAAAAGTATCAATAACTGGGGACACTAATAACACTGGTAACCTAATTCTGAATATTATCATTATTTTAGTTTTTAAATACGAATATTTCAACTTTCAATATAATATAGTATATATATATATATATATATATATATATATATATATATATAT